CTAATGTTGTAGTGTACCCTGTCTGTTGTCAAGGACAGGGAAGACCCCTAATGTTGTAGTGTATCCTGTTTGTTGTAAAGGACAGGGAAGACATCTAATGTTGTAGTGTACCCTGTTTGTTGTCAAGGACAGGGAAGACATCTAATGTTGTAGTGTATCCTGTTTGTTGTCAAGGACAGGGAAGACCCCTAATGTTGTAGTGTACCCTGTCTGTTGTCAAGGACAGGGAAGACATCTAATGTTGTAGTGTATCCTGTTTGTTGTCAAGGACAGGGAAGACATCTAATGTTGTAGTGTATCCTGTTTGTTGTCAAGGACAGGGAAGACATCTAATGTTGTAGTGTATCCTGTCTGTTGTCAAGGACAGGGAAGACATCTAATGTTGTAGTGTACCCTGTGTCTTGTCAAGGACAGGAAGACATCTAATGTTGTAGTGTACCCTGTTTGTTGTCATGGACAGGGAAGACATCTAATGTTGTAGTGCACCCTGTCTGTTGTCAAGGACAGGGAAGACATCTAATGTTGTAGTGTATCCTGTTTGTTGTCAAGGACAGGGAAGACATCTAATGTTGTAGTGTACCCTGTTTGTTGTCATGGACATTGAAGACATCTAATGTTGTAGTGTACCCTGTCTGTTGTCAAGGACAGGAAGACATCTAATGTTGTAGTGTATCCTGTCTGTTGTCATGGACAGGGAAGACATCTAATGTTGTAGTGTACCCTGTCTGTTGTCAAGGACAGGGAAGACATCTAATGTTGTAGTGTACCCTGTCTGTTGTCAAGGACAGGGAAGACATCTAATGTTGTAGTGTACCCTGTTTGTTGTCAAGGACAGGGAAGACATCTAATGTTGTATTGCACCATGTCTGTTGTCAAGGACAGGGAAGACATCTAATGTTGTAGTGTATCCTGTTTGTTGTCAAGGACAGGGAAGACATCTAATGTTGTAGTGTATCCTGTTTGTTGTCAAGGACAGGGAAGACATCTAATGTTGTAGTGTACCCTGTCTGTTGTCAAGGACAGGGAAGACATCTAATGTTGTAGTGTACCCTGTTTGTTATCATGGACAGGGAAGACATCTAATGTTGTATTGCACCCTGTCTGTTGCCACGGACAGGGAAGACATCTAATGTTGTAGTGTATCCTGTCTGTTGTCAAGGACAGGGAAGACATTCTAATGTTGTAGTGTACCCTGCTTGTTGTCAAGGACAGGGAAGACCCCTAATGTTGTAGTGTATCCTGTCTGTTGTCAAGGACAGGGAAGACATCTAATGTTGTAGTGTACCTGTCTGTTGTCAAGGACAGGGAAGACCACTAATGTTGTAGTGTATCCTGTCTGTTGTCAAGGACAGGGAAGACCCTAATGTTGTAGTGTATCCTGTCTGTTGTCAAGGACAGGGAAGACATCTAATGTTGTAGTGTATCCTGTTTGTTGTCAAGGACAGGGAAGACATCTAATGTTGTATTGCACCCTGTCTGTTGTCAAGGACGGGGAAGACCCCTAATGTTGTATTGCACCCTGTCTGTTGTCAACTACAGGGAAGACATGTAATGTCGAAGGGTTCCCTTTTAGTTGTCAAGGACAGGCAAGACATCTAATGTTGTAGTATACCCTCTCTGTTGTCAAGGACAGGGAAGACATCTAATGTTGTAGTGTACCCTGTCTGTTGTCAAGGACAGGGAAGACATCTAATGTTGGAGTGTACCCTGTTTATTATCAAGGATAAAGGATCACATGTTTAGGTAGACACACTATGCAGCTCCCTGTAATCAGTGAGTAAGTATGGTTGTACGCCGTTTTATCAATATTTCACCAATATCACGGCGGGGCACACCAGAAATGGACTTCACCAGTTGCACCTATGTGGGGAAATCGAACCCGGTCCTTCGCCGCTTTAACCACTAGGTTACCTCTTCGCACACGCAGGACTCCTGGAAGAGAGGTTTATATACTAGCCACATAAAGAAACTGTGCATTGTCAAAATATTATCCCAGTTGATAAGTACGATAACAATGTCAAAGGTACATATAAACTTTAATGGAGGGATCATGAGACCATAACAAGTCGGGAGAATTTCAATTGAAAAGTCAATCACAATGACGTCACGAGTCCACAAGCGGGACAGGGGTCAAAAGACCATGTCACAATTTCAATAACGGGTATGTCCACCATCGGCATTGAGAACAGCAGTGCATCGACGACGCATAGAGCCTTTCAAACGTGCAAGGAAGGCTTGTGGGATGTCACGCCAGATTCTCTCAAGTTCTCTTGCAAGGTCAAGGACGTTATCTGGCGGATGAGGAAGACGGCGTAGACGTCGATCCATCTCGTCCCAAACATGCTCTATCGGGGAGAGATCCGGTGAATTTGCAGGCCAAGGCAGTAAGGCAACGTTGTGGTGTTGCAAGAAATCCATAGCAACCCTTGCCGTATGAGGGCGGGCATTTTCCTGTTGGAATGTTAACCCAGGGCAATGACGTTGCAGAAAAGGAATTGCCACAGGTCGAAGAATCTGATCCCTGTAGCCCACACCAGTTAAAGCCCTGAACAATCACCAAAGGAGTTTTTTTGCGTGCTGTTATTCCACCCCAAATCATCACGAAACCACTACCAAAGCGATTCCTCTCCAAGACACAGGCCTGTGCATAACGTTCTCCCACGCGTCTATAGGCACGTTGACGTCCATCACTATGGGAAATGTTAAACCTGGACTCATCTGTAAAAAACAACATTTCTCCACCAAAACAAGGGTCTGCGGACATGATTTCGGCACCACATTCGCCGAGCTTGTCGATGACTTTGTGTCAGAATAGGGCGTATGGCGGGACGTCGTGGTCTGATCCCGTGATGACGTAAACGTTGTCGAACTGTGTTGGGGTGGATACGGCGAAGTCCTGGGATGGTTCGGGCAGTCATCACTACAGTCTGAAACCTGTGGCGAAGATGGGTCACCCTTATCCGTTTGTCCTGTCTTGGCGTTGTTACACGTGGACGTCCAGAACGTGGCCGACCGATGACGCCATTTGTGTTCTGGTAGCGTCTCACCAGTGCAGAAATGTTGTTCCGGTGGCAGTGGAAATGTGCAGCCACTTGTCGTTGAGACATTCCCCCGCGGACCACCCCAATGGCCTCATGACGTTGTGCAGACGTGAGCCTTGGCATGCTATGCGTTTCAATAGCCGTTTAAATTTTTGAACGATCGTGGGGTTGAGCTTTCCAAAGTGACAGTATTGTGTGGCATTCATTTGCTCTGTTTCTCTTTCCCGGAATGCACGTGCAACAACGTATTGCACGTCTCAAGGACGAACCCACTGATGTCACGGAACGTGGCACGTGCATGCATGTTGGATACATGTCACTAATCTCTGAGTTTAAATCCTTATGTGTCTACACATTTTTGATCAATTTAGATTTTAAATTTTTGTATGCACAGTCTCTTTATGTGCCTAGTTTAATTTGCGTTCAACCAAGGGCTCACAACAGCAGCTGAGATCTGCGTTACTGTTATTTGGGCTGACGTGTGGTGGACATTATGTATAGGAACTAGGCACTGAATATTGTGAGAGATGTCAAATTGCTGGCGGCAGTGAATGGAGTTTATATAGTTGCACTAAGTCTCGGGATACTGACTCTGGTCCGACTAGTCACTAGTCCTTGTTTCATCCCCTGAAGGCCTCCCCACCCCCTACCCCGCTCCGTGGCTCCGACTATGGGAGACAACCGAACCAAACAAGACAAACATACACCCAAACAACCAAACCTACAAACAAACAACCATCAAGCAAACAAACAATGGACTTGCTCAGTGTAGAATATTCTGGCAGCTACACAGTGTGAAAAACAATTGCACTTTGTTCGATTTAATGACACTACAGTGCACATATACCTTCGCATTGGCTTCTCACTCTGTTGCTATTGTATTTCACAAAGCACTAAGGTGATCGTAAGTCACTAAGGTAACCTTAGTGCAGTGTTAAAGAATGGGAGTTAAGGTTAACCTTAGTAAAGGTTGCTTCGTGAAAGGAGCCCCTTTATGATAATCATAAACGTAAAAAAAAATTATTATTATTACACAAAGATATGTATAATTTGAAAAACGATCATTTATAAGAAACGATGTGAGAGATAAGAGAGAGAGAGAGAGAGAGAGAGAGAGAGAGAGAGAGAGAGAGAGAGAGAGAGAGAGAGAGAGAGAGAGAGAGAGAGAGAGAGAGAGAGAGAGAGAGAGAGAGAGAGAGAGAGAGAGAGAGAGAGAGAGAGAGAGAGAGAGAGAGAGAGAGAGAGAGAGAGAGAGAGAGAGAGAGAGAGAGAGAGAGAGAGAGAGAGAGAGAGAGAGAGAGAGAGAGAGCATGTGCTGTGTATGCTATGCCTGTCCGTAATTATAATGTTAATGCACTAGTCAAGGACAGATATGGCTTTACGCACTCTTTGATCAGATAGTTTACAAACAACTCACACTAATCTCTGGTGTTTGTATAAATGGACATTAATAAATTATATCTGCTCAAAATATTTACAAAAATGTCATAGATTGAAAAATTATTCCAGGATCAGATTGGTATTCTAACTAAAATAAACTATGACACGTACAGCACAACAAACGCGGGATAAGCCGTAGACTGGTAATTGCTTTTGTTGATATTATATAATGGCGTGTACACAAATTTGAGAAAAACATGTTCATGTAGACGTTTCTACATTGAAAAGTCAGGTCATCGCATACACAATCCTGAACGTGAAAATTATTTCTAATGGATTGGAAATGTCATATAGATAGTCGACATCGGTTTTCTCAGTCTGTGTGTTACATGAGATTAAAATGTTACCACGCGATATGTATATTTTGTCTTAGTCAGCAAAACGACGTTTCTATCAATTTCATTGTTAACGCAAAAGAAGGGACATAACTGTGTACGTTTTACTGTCACTGACAGGTATTTGGATAGTTGTTCGGGAAATAGTGTCTCAGTGCCCGGTGACGTCAGAGCGACCCAGCCAGTGACCCCGGCGACCGGGGATTGAAGTGCGTTTGTACACCAGTGGAGTTTTTCTTCCTGGGAATTTGCAGAGATCGTGCAATGGATTCATTAAATTTACCGATCACTTAACTGCATATTCGACTAATGAAATGTGAAGTTTACAGTTGCAATGCCTTGGAATATTGTTGGTTTTGAAGGCAGTGCTTGCCCGTAGGCTTGTTGTACTGGATCCAAGATGGCAGATCCAACGGGGATATTTCCCGTTAGTTTGGAGCAAAATAAACCCGAAGGTAAAGTTACACGACCATATTACATGCAGAGGCATCCTATTTTGTCTAAATCGGTTTGTAAGCTTTCGTGGCTTTCAGTTCTGTGGATTCTCATTCGATTATATCTCTGATAATGAGAAACTACATCAAAATTTTCCATTTTCTTTAGTCAATCCGTAATTTACATCTGTCAAGTTTTAATTATTCACACTAGTGCCTTGTATTTTTTAAAACATAAATTGCTTCTTATTGGTAACGTTCTATTCTTCACTCTCTGTGTGATCACATTTAGCGCTGAGTTACTTCAGCTACAATGTGTGTGAGTTTGTGAGATATCTTCCATATGTTGATTTCATAGGCTAAAAATATTCAGGTGATCGTACATTGTAATGCTACGTTTTGAAATAGACTTTGTGTACTGAAATTTCCAGCATTCTTCAGACATCAAAACAAAGATGGCATGTTCGGAAAGTTGAGCTGAACCCACCCTCTCTATTATTTTGAGAAGGGTGTCTTACATCTGTGGATTAAGTTGCAGCTTGTCTCTTCTGGGTCAGGCATTATGTAGGTCAGAGCTGGCTTGCACCTAGCAAATATTATTTTCTTATTGATCACAGACACTTATAAAAGTGTAGGAGGACACTTGGCAACACAAACTAAAGTGCATTGTTATTTGTGCAAGTTAAACTTATATATTTCATTTTGCGCCTTAGAAGAATTGTATGACAGCTATATCTCATAAGCATCACATCCGTGTACCCATTGACATTTTAAAGGGGGTCATGGACAACTTGTACATTCCTGTCTTTGCATGTTTTATCAAATGTTTTGTATTTAGTGGAGTTTTTGCAGTATTTCTCATTGAAATGACTGAAGACTTAGCTGACAATGTTAAAGGAAAAAACTTAATGAATAATATTACCTCCCCTGATGAGAGGTCAAGAGGTTAATGTGAATGTATGTAAACAAACTGACAACTTGGGCTAGATTTTGGGTATGAAAAGCTTTGGGCTATTGTTTGGGTATATAAAGGAGTTGCTTCAGATATTCAGCAAATTCCGTCAGTGAGTCATACAGAAAGTTTAACTGTTGAGTATTTTTGCAATGAATCGAGGGAGATTTCTTTGTGCACAGCTGTAGTTCATAGAGCAGATGGTGCAGTATCAAGGTGACTCAAGCATTTTCATTTAAGAATTGACTTTGATATTTTTAACATTTATCGAAACGAAAACACAAAAATAAATGCTTTGTTAACCAATCAAATGCTATATAATCACTTACCATGTATTTATAGTCTGTTACACCAAGTGTTATTTATCATTTATCTACGATCTCAAATCTTCACGTATCAGGAAATGAAAAACAGATCTGAAGATATATAAATCATTTGCATTGTTTTCATGTGCAGGAACATGAAGATTAATACCCTTGTTGTTTCAGATATTCCAATTTATTTTCTTTAATGTGCAACAGTTTTGCAAAAGCTTGACACCTTTTCATGTTTTTACTTGCACAAAATGTTTGTTGTTTATTCACTTTGTTGCCATGGTAACTATCTCATGGATAGTATGTTTATGTATAAGGCCAAAGGAACAAGGCAAAGTCTGTAATTTATAGTTAGTAAATCAAGATGATGCCAGTTCTTTTGACAGTTAGTAGCTTTGTTTTTGACTCGGGAATGCTTTGCCCTTTTCATGAAATTGACAATTTGAATTCAGAGAAATATGGTCTTTTATAGACATTCTGGCTCTTACAATCTGTCACTTTCAACTAACCCTGCTAACAAAACAGCAGATTACACAACTGGTACTTGTTCTTTGAGTTATAGGGTTGGTTGTATATCACTTTTAGTAATATTAATTTCCAGTAATATCATTGTGGGAGACACCTCACACATTCCAACCATGTTCGAAATCGAACCCCTGTGACAGCAGGACACTTTAACCACTAGGGGAGGCCTAGTGGTTGAATCGTTCGCTGGTCATACCGAGGTACCAGGTTCGATTCTCCATGTGGTTACCATGTGTGTACCCCATTTCTCGTGTCCCCTGTCGTGATATTGCTGGAATATTGCTAAAGCTGTGTGAAACTAAACTCACTCATTCTTATTCTTTGACAGTCTGTTTACTGTTTTGACTGCCAACAGGTTTTTTGGTGACCAGTTGGTGTTTAGCTGTAGAGGTTGTCCGCTTCCTGTTCAGCCAGATTCCTCAAGCTGTCACTGATCTGAAGTCAACCACCAGTGAAATTGTTAATAGATTCATTCTAATTATCAGATGATCGAGTGTATGTTACGGCAACTTAGTCGTAAACTCACACTAGAAATTGTCACTTTGCATCTTTGTGTAATTTGTTATCTGTTAATTACACACTCATGGAGTATCACTATCCATTATATGTTAGCATTTTTTTAGTGGAAATCTGAAAATCACTTTTTATTTGCTGAAAGTAGAAACTTCAGCTGCTTATCCGAAGCCAGAGTCAAGTAGGAATGTGTTTTGGTCTATCCTTCTCAGGTAATAAATGTACCGGTAGTGGGTACCCGGTGGGATAAGTCATAGGATTATAAACCTTCTAGCCACCACAGGCAGCTTTGGTTATGTGGGGTAATACTGTCCATCATGTTGTGTGCGCTTAGAGCATGTCCCTGTGGCGTGGAGTTCAGCGCTATATAAATATAAGGTGATGTGAGGTGAAATTGGGTTTAACGTCGTGCTTGAGAATATTTCGCTCATATGACGACGTGCATGCGTGTGTATGTGTATGTGCGGCTGCTTGTACTAGCCAAAACTTAAGTTGGTTTCATAGTGCTAGCCCACTGAGATACCATGCCGCAGCGAATCATGAATACCCCACTCAGACACATTATACTGACTCCGAGCCTACCAGTCCTTGTTGCACCCATTAATGCCGAGCGCCACACAGGGACCAACAAGTACCACATTTTAACGTCTTTTGGTATGACACCGTCGGGGATCGAACCCGCGTCCTTCCGCTCTCCGGGCGGACGCTCTAACCACGGAGGCGGACGCTATATAAGTGGCCATATTATTATTATCATTATAATTATGATAGCACTGAAGTGTACCAAATATGATATTGGGTAGGCTAGTAGACAAAGGCTGTGGCAGCTATCAATTGTTTCTTAGTTTTTGTGGGGTAGCCTAGTGGTTGAAGTGTTCGCTCGTCACACTGAAGACCCGGGTTCGATTCCCACATGGGTACAATGTATGAAGCCCATTTCGAGTGCCCCTTGCTGTAATATTGCTGTAATATTGCTTAAAGGTAAATGGCACTAAAACCATACTCTCTTCTTAGTTTTTGTGGGGCGGTGGGGTAGCCTAGTGGTTAAAGCGTTGGCTCGTCACGCCGAACACCCGGGTTCGAATCCCCACATGGGTACAATGTGTGAAGCCCATTTCTGGTGTCCCCCGCCGTGATGTTGCTGGAATATTGCTAAACGCGGGGATCAGTTTTTGTGATGCAATATAGTATGGTAGAATTACAAGACTGCTTCACAAACAATTTAATATGGCAACATACTCATACAGCTGGATGAAGTGCTAAAATGGAAATCTTAATTTTTTCTCACTCAACAACGATTTTTGAAAACATAATCTCCCAATCAAGAGCTTACAAAATGTACAAAGGCTGCTGATCAAGTTCTGATATTTAATTCATTAAGTAGTCTCATAATATCAGCAATATAACATTTGGTATAATTACCATATCTGTGATAGTAGATCGTAACTCCACTTTATAACCTTACCATTGGAGTCGTGGAATAATCCAGATAAGAATCAAGGTATGGGTTTCATATGATATTAACAATGCAGTCCTTTGAATAATGAGACTTGTATTGATTAATGGTAATTTTCCGGAATGGAGGCAGGGCTTAGAATTGTTGGTTACGTGTTCACTGTAGTTTGTGTGAAATACACACCTGCTCAGATACACTGCTATTTTTGATCGTTTATTGGTAACAATTCTTGTACTTTGTTTTCTCAGTGTAACAAGAGTTCTGTGTCAGATACGAGTTTATTTACTATCCATTTAGCTGTACAGTACCAAAGTAGCCATTGAGCAGGTTAGATATTTCAGTAGGTTCATAAATGCCGAAACTTTAGCCGAAGTCCAAGTCTTGTACAAGATAGTATATGAATAACATTTAATTCTAATGAAAGTGTTGTCTGTGTCAGAAGACACTGGTGTTGTTTGCACAGACTGCAGTACCAGTAGCCAACACCTTGTGGGGGCGGTGAATAGCTCAGTGGTTAAAGTGTTCACTCGTCAAGACCCGGGTTCGATTCCCCACATGGGTACAACTACAATGTGTGAGGAAGTGAGGGCCATTTCTGGTGTCCCCCCGCTATGATATTGCTGGAATATTGCTAAAAGCGGGGTAAAACTAAACTCACTCACTCACTCACTGCATGTGTGTAGATGATATGTATCATTATCATAATTATGTGCACAATATACATGTGCTTTGAAATGTGAAACTTGAAATTACAAGTGCATCAATGTGAATAAAAGATGACAAAGTCATTATGATCAGGATAATGAAAACAGCTGATTCTAATCTCCATTTTATTATCATAAATACCTTGGGCCAATTTGCCATAATGTTTTCACACTGGTTGAAATGCCTCCCTACCAGCAATAGCTGTCCAATCCAGGAATTATTACAGATTATATAAAGATTTAGATGACCAGATGATTTAGATGAAAGTAACGCAAGTCTGCTAGGCAGAATTATCCAAGTACAATTTTGGCAGGAATAGTGCCATTCCTTTTGGACTAACTGTTTTACCATTAGGTGGCATCGCTGGAGTAGTTTGTTTATGTTTTTATGCACTGGTGTGGATAAAAGTTCATTTCTAACCCTGGAAATTGTTGTTTCTGTAAAGAAGCTTTGATGGCAATAAGGTCTATGGTATGCATCAGTGTTAAGAGTGAGTGAGTTTAGTTTTACGCCACACTCCGCAATATTCCAGCTATATGGTGGCGGTCTGTAAATA